AGAACAGGCTCTGTGAAAACATCTTTCACTTGAAAATGGTAACGAAATAATGTTCACACTCAATTGAAGCATAGCATATTAAGATTTTTTGAACATATGTTCAGTTCAGTTGTTGAATTATTCAACGTAACTTATATTTCTTTCGATTGTTGTTTTTGTTTCTTTTGTCATTTTTTAAGAGTGCAAATAATAAATATTAAATGAACAGGACGAACACAATAAAAAGTTCTCAGCATGGTAATATAAGTATATGAAGAAAATTTAAGCCTATATTTTCTTCTAGATGCTTTACACATTTTAATAATTTTTGCCCCACCAAAAAAATGACCCTGGCCCGCCGATGTATGATGATCATTCGTTTCATTTATAAAGTGTATCGACAAATAGCGACATGATACGTCAAATGTTTTAAAGTTCTGATATGAGTGACATCCATTATAGTAGACTGTTTTTATTATAATAAAAAACAAATCTAATTTTTAATTTTTAATTTTTAATTTTTAATTGAAACCTATAGCTTCCATTACATGGGAAAACGAAAAACAAAATAAGGTAACTTGCTTTTTAGGATATTATTAGGAGGTTATGGGAAGGTTCCAGTCTATTGATCGACTAATTGAAACCAATTATAAAAAATTCCCGAGTGGTTGGGATTGGAAGAACTTTTGCCAGTCAAACCGACTTATCTATTTTTTGTTTTTTCTCTTTTCATCAAAGTCAAATATTAATTGGAATTTTCTTTTAGTTTCTCTGCGAAATCTCTAATATAAAACACATCCCAGTCCATGGCTATGTACAGAATCTGCAAACGATATACATAATTTATTTCTATCATGCTTACTCGGCTATGTTATTGATATTGAATATGTTTTTTATGAATCTACTAATGATAATACATCTTCCGGTAAAACATTATGTGGTATAGAGAATAAATATACACTTTTATTTGCATGAAATCGTAAACGAACATGTCATATTGATATAAATAATTTACGTTTTCATACTAATTCAACATGTGGTTCAACAATAAGATTATCTATTAAATATTGTTGTTTATCTGTAATACAAAAACAAAAATATTTTTTATGTGGACCATCAACACAATGTCGTCTTCGATTAGATGATATTAATTTATCATGTGAACAACATTTTTGTTTACATTTTTACTGGCATAATTGGTATTAGTATAAAAAACACAAGATAATATAAATAAAAATCGTTTTAAATGTAGTAAAGATACACAAAAAACATGTAACCAGTATATATCAAACTCTTATCAAGATGTATGCGTTAATCAAGATCAAGATCAAGATCAATGTAAAATAAGATATTATGAACTTCCAGCATTAAAAGATTGTCAATATGGAATAGCACCCAATTTTTCAATGGTTGATTATTTACGTATTCCTGGTTAAGTTTGGTTTTTAATGAAAGAAAAAAATATTCTCTCGTTTGTGTTCATAGATGATGGTATAACAGAAGATCTTCCTCGTACTGATATTTGTTCAACAGGCATATCAGAACCAATAACAATTGATCGTGGTTTTATTACATTCGCCTAATTATCCACAAGCTTTATGACAATATTTATCGTGTAGAAAAAAAATTGAATGCTACACGTGAATTTAATATATATTTATTAAATAATTTACGAACATTGGTTCGTAATTAATTAGTTGATGTAAATATTACAAGCTAAAATAATAATAATGAATTAGTGCAGTTTGAATTAAAAACAAATCATATTGGTGGTGAAAATTTTTTACTTTATTTTCATAGCAAATTAATATATAAAAATGAAATTTTATTTTCGATGATTTATTTTAGTCGATTCACGTTTATCCAAATATGCACCATTTGTTTGTGAACCGAATAGAAGCATGGATAATGATCGAAGAGAAAAAACAATGTTAAAACGAGATTGGGCTATGTTGAACAGGTATTTGCTATGATTTCATCTTAGCATTTAAAAACAAATTCTATAGATATACTTTGACTAATATTTGCATGCAAATATTTGTTCTACACCATCCAGAATAATGATTCTAGCATTCGGATCTATGAATACCCACCGGAAGAGTCATGAAAACAGTAAAAGAGTTCAGTTATGATTCACAAAAACTTCTCATAAGAAATTTCGAGCTATTCTGTAGATCAAAGATTATTGATTTTCAAATACGTTATTTACTAGTATATAGATAATACGAAACTTGTTGTATATGGAAATCGAAAGAATACATCATCATGAAGTGAAAATGAATAAAAAAATGAAATATTAAGTGGTCCTTTTGATTGTTCAAATTGTAGTAATATCAGGATCAAATGAAAATGTGAATGTTTTACTTTAAACTAGATAAAATCATCGGTTGTCAATTCGTATTGGTCTTCAGTGTCGTCGATTGTATTTTCTGATATTGCTCTTCCATACCCAGGTCGATCAAAACGGATATCGTTTACGGTCCGTTTTCTGAAAGTAAACGGTAGGAAAACGACATCTCTACGGCAGTAAACTGTCCGTATTTTCTCGTAGTACTGGATGTAGTAATACGGCGCTGTAAACGATACCGTATTTTCGCCGTATACGGTCCGTTTAGATATCGTTTTATCACCGTAAACGGGCCGTATACTGACCGTATTTTCTGACATGGGTAGTTTAATAGATATTCAGCCATGTTGTTTCCAGCCTCCATTGCACCAAGAGCCGTAGCACGCTCAGAGAAATGCTGTATTGACGATGACAGATACGACTGCTCTTCCTTCGTTTCATCTAAAAGCAAGTAAATTTGTATAATAGTCGTCATACGCGAGGCTATAAAATGAACTTTGAGAATGAATACTTGGTTATATTTGTCTATTTTGATGCAGTAACTACACGGTGTAAATTGATAATTATCTATGTGAGTGATATATTCAATACTCAGATTCATATACTATTTAAAATTCTTCAAAAAGAACATACAGCTTTAATTAATGTCGCTATTCTTTGTGCTTTGAAGCCATTTCGAGAAATCCCGGCTTCATTGCTTCTTTACTCGTACTTCGTTTTCTTAGCTTTTATCAGGATATACAAATACTCATCATTATTTTTGTATTATATTAGAGCAAATTTATATCAAACGCTAGAAGAAGACATTTTGTAAAGAAATCAGTTTCTTTAAATTTTAAGCTTCATTAAATCGTATTTTACATTTAGTATTTTTTTTCTTTAACAGGACGAATATTTTAGGGTAAATATAAAATAATTCCAGTCTCAAAGGACAAAATCTATTATATTTGTGCATCTTTAATTTTCTAAAAAAATAACTAATCGAAATGTAGAAATGCTTAATGTTATTGATCTTACAAACAAAAAGCTCATTAACTGTATTACCTATGAGTGTATAGCAATATGTTTCTGATAAACTTAATCTGTGCGATAAAGAATATTATATCCTATTAAGCTGATTCCATCGTCAATTAAAATACCTAAGTCTTCTATCTGCATTCGTTCAATCAATAGTCAAAGCCATTCTAACACGTTGTTTATCGTTTACTTTATATGGATTTGTACTTTAGAATTATGGAAATTGTTGAAAAGAACTGTTCTGGTATTCAATTATTAATGTTATTATCAACATTTATACTCAGTTTTCAAGTATAATACGTCGGAAATGGTTTGTTGTAGTTAATCAATTTAAGTTAACAAGTCAGCTTAACTGTTCAAGAATTAGATAAACTTAAATTCAAAATTTAAACTTACGTTTAAGTCAGGTCATAGAAATTCTGTTTAAATAAGTTTTATACAAATTTTTATTATACCTAACGCATGTTATTATGAGAAAAGGAAAAGAATGACTGCGAATATTCGAATGAAGTTTTTTCCAATAGATGAAAAACTTGATTCGAACATTCAGAATCATCCCTATTCATTCTGGCACTAAAGATGAACAATCTATATATATGAAGTCGGGTATCTATATGTGTTACTTATCGGATCAAGGGTGAAAGGTCGAAAAATGTCCGTACAATTATAGAAACTAGACATCTGTTTTGAGTAACTCATTGCCATTGCAAACGATTTCCATTAATTCGTACGCATTCGTGTCCATTCCCAAGGACTCCAACCCATTCAGAACCACTCTTATTCATTTTTATCCATTCAAAGACATCTGGACGACTATAAACGATGTTTTCCCCTCTTATTTCTTCTTGTTAGACGCAATGGTAAGATTTCATGTACGTATGTCAAAATTCGGGTTCTCAGTAGCATATTGGTCTTCCAGTCTTGGCGTGAATTTGAATATTATCATTTTTCGAGTATTTTTCAATGTTTATCTTTTAATGAAACGATAAAAGCCTTTTAATTTACTTTGATTGTTTTCCAATGTAGATTTATTGATAGCAAACCATCGATTGTTGCTAGTGATGTCAATCGAGAAAACACCAATTATTTTATCCGACCCAAGAAACTTCTTCAAATGCTGCACTCCAACTATTAGACCATTGCCATCTTGTAAGTTTTTGTCGATAAATACATGCAAAGATGAGTCACCAATAAGTTTCTTTTTTATCTTCTGGTATTGAGAAGCTGAAACAAACATCGTTACACATTATATTGCTAAATAATTGCCTGTAATATCGTGATTTCGTGTTGTCATTTATACCAATACGAATTGCAACCAGTTGATTTATGCAGTCTTGAAGCTTTAGGGACCGTTGTTCATCATGTAGACCACCCAACATTAAAATGCCCCTATAAAAATTTTGATTTATTTAGATGTATTTTTCTCTATTGAAATGTGCTCATTCTTATTTTATAGCTTTAGAAATCATAAGACATCTGCTTTTCAAACTCAGCTACAAAATTTATTATAAAAGCTAAAAATTCCAAATTATTTATTCTTATAGTGAAACGAGAAACAATATGCCGATAACTAAAGACAGAATAATTTTCTTGTAATGGCAATATTCATTTGCATAAGACAATACAAAATTATTTCCTATCTAATTAAATAGAATTAAAAAATAGGGCGTCTTATTTCTTTATGTTAATCTTTATTTACTTATATTGATACTCGTTTTTATTTTTTAGAATTTATGCATGTCTGTTTGTCTTTATCAAAATACTATTATTATTACATATAGTTTTCAAGGTAAATTTTTTATTTTTATTTTTTTCAAAACAAATGTCATACATTTTATTTTAATTTTATGAACATTGAAACTAATTTAAATCCCTATCAGTATCAGTTAAATCATTAAAGTCTATGTTAATCTGTCATACTTTGAGAGTTCTTATCCGACCAATTGAGAGAAAAAAAAGGAAAAATAATCAAAGTATTAACGGATAACAATTCTCCTCATTAGTTTGATAACTCCTTCGTTACTGAACTTACTGAATATTTGATTCAGGTGAAATTATTTCAATATGTTTACAAATATTTTCGAAGCATCGGTCAAGATTTTGCAAATTTAAATCGTTTGGAAAATAGACATCGCTTCTATGTTCGACAAATATACGCCCACCAGGATTTAAAAATACAACAATAGCAACACAACTATTGAGTCCCTTAGTTGCTATGCGATCGGGCGAAGAACCAAAATGATCCATTTGGATGTCAAGTATTGACAATGAATTTGATGTTGCCATCGCTTGTAATTTCTTTTCAATAATGCTTCTTTCAAATAATGAACGATATCGTTTAGAAAGAAAGAAACGAGAAAAAACAATGACATATACGTGCATACACATGTTTGTAAACAATGCTTAGTCAGTGCTACTTCAATATTACATTCTTTATATATGTGATTCTTGTATTTGTTACTATGCTTTTAACTTTCGTATTAAAGAAACATCAAAATATATGAGCCTGATTTTTGTCAAATACATTCTGTTTCGTCACGCTTCAGACATCTTGTGTATATTAATATTATCCATACGAACTAGATTGACCAGGAAAAATGTCTTTTTTCTATGACAAAGAGATACTTTATTTTCCACTGAAGATATATACCCAGGTGAAAGAAAACGACCCGTAAACGGCATAAAAACGATGTAAAACGTTAAAGAACGGCGCCGTTTTCCGTCAGCTCGGAAAACGAAGAGAATAGTGTTAAAAGCGATGGCCGTTTTCTAGCAAAAAACACGGCCCGTAAAACGAGCTGACGGATTACGGCGAAATAGGGTGAAAATTAATGCCGTTTTATAGCCGTTTCAGGCCGTTTTCGATGGCTTTTCAGGCGCCAGGATGATCATCCTGGGCACAATCATATAAATCAACTTACCGATACGACTAAAACTGATCAAACAAATAGTAATGGGTCATTCCACCAGAAATCGCCAGGTCATTCCGGCGACCACGTCCAAATTCCTTGAAACTTTCAGGGTTTGTAGAGAATTTTTCGCTGATCATTTCCGTAATAAATATTTTTGGAATAAATTGTATTTTCGCGAAGATAGAGGTCAAATACAAAAAGTACATTTTTCTTTTTTAAAGTAAATAAAAAAAGCATCTTTATCGTAATAACAATGAAAGTCCCTCTCTAATCACTCGGATTTTAAAACCAATCACATATTCAGATTCCTTGTGAAAACCTACGCTAGAGTCCTAAGGAACTAAAAGCATTCTAGCGAACTTTTCTATCGTCCATTAGTTCGCTATGTAATTCACAGAGGAGAAAAGTGTTTGAAAAATTTAGTCGGAAAGTTGGAATGAACCAGAATGATGGCATTACCAGTTCGAGAAAGCACAACTTGCTCTACAAGATGCACTGTTTAATTTACCCCAAACTAGTAATTTAGGAAGGAACGACTGTCAACAATATTTTGGATTACAATTTTTTCAGCAAATTCTGACGCATAGATTCGTAAAATAGGGCTACTTAGCCCAATTATCATTTCTAAGTTCACTACGACTTTCAGAACTTGTAAAGCTTGTTATGCTGATCATTTTGATAATAAATTATTCAATGATTAATTCTATTTTTGCAAAACGATACGTCAAATAATATTAGTATACAGTAGCTCCCAAAATGATTCCACCCTGCTCTTTTCCAGTTTTCCCCGCTGCTGTAAACGCCAAGAATAATGCAAATAGTGATTTTAGTACAAAATTTTATATTCAGCAATAAATTTCGAAGATAAAAATGATTCATAATTTTCAGAGGATATGGTCTCTGGAACTCTTCAATTTCGAACAAAAGATAGGTTTTCATTATTTTATAGGTAAGCGCATAATATGCATTAGAATATCAAAATACAAAAGCATTGATTTACATTGTTTTTTCTCTCCAGATGATACGTCATTTCGACATATTTTTTAACATCAAATAACAGATCTTATCCTTCATAATAATGATAAATATGATAATGCAATATTATCGAACATTTATACTAAAGATGTCTATGCATATATCATGGTTTTCTTCCAAAGTCTAAAGATTTTGAAAATTATTGCATCATCTGAGTATGACTATCCATCTTTGGTAATTTGGAATCATCAATCAACAACTTGCTTCTCCTCAACTCTCACTGTATTATGTATTACTGTGTTTGGTTTTGATCATTGTCTCTTGTTACTTGATGGTCGTCTCAAACAACTAACTACATTCAAGGTCCAAGTTCATGCCGTCTCCAGGAGTATGCTAATCGATTGCAATAAGGTAAGTTGATACTATTTTATTGTTGTCTGAAGTTAAGGAATAATATCTATGGCAAAGATGCCCATCGTGGTTGAAGATCTGCCGCTACTGCGACACCCTAAACTAAACTTGTCACCACCGCGATGTCATTCAAAATAATACTGATTTTTGAGGTTATAACTGGTTTGGATTAAAAATGACTACTTTAAATCTATCAGATTTTGCTAAGTCTTACAGTATGCCATAGAGAAATACCGAGATTCTGTGAAAATTAATGAATTTTAAAAATTTCTTCATAGAATCCTCCCCCTGCCATGATGGAGTTATTAAAACCTCGTCCGCGCCGCGATAGTTTTTCGAAAAAGTCTCCCGTGTCGCTATGGACATCTTTGATAAAATGATATTAATGCATCGGATGATTACTAATTAGAATAGCGAAGAGTGTATGACAGTTTTGATCATTGTAAAAACACTAAAACTAGATAGTTCTTGTTTTTCGACCAGTCTATATTGTTTGATGATTAGTTATTAATTACTTATTAGAATTATCTAATCATACGGTTGCAAAATGGGTATCTTGATCGTCGCAATAAGCAAGACAAAATATGATCTAGCACTTTCTAAACAGTTACCTTTTTAACTTATTTTTTAAATGTTCAAGGAACAAATCGCATATATACGTTGTTGTTCTAACAAAGATATAAACTACTAGTCATAAATGAGTCTTTGAGTACAAAATGAAAGCAATTTTCCTTAAATAATCAAGTAAAACACTGCAGAATTTGTTAATATTATGTAGTCATCTCTCACTCGTTCATAAGAAGCTCTGATAGCATGGTGCTTTTAAGAGAAGGAAGAATATCACAGAATCCTTTCGATTTAAAATATTTTCAGAAATACACGTAATATCAAACATGACATTATCAGAAGAAATAACACTTTACTCCATATCGATTTAGATATTTCCAAGAAAAACATTTTCTATAAACCAGAATGTCTCCAGTAATGGTAGTTACACTAGAAAGTAGAATTATTTTATTTAACCATATTAAAGATATTTTATACAGGTTCTATAATCTAATTCAGTTTAGAATTCTGAAGTTGATCATTTTCTTTTTGAATTGATTTCTAAATATCAACTATTTTCATTGTGCAGAAAATTTAAAAATATCTACTATTTCGTTTAGATGACATTGTTGCATTATATATATTTGCATCAAATAGAAGAAATATTGAGGAATGAATTGAAAATGAGAGAAGAATTTTAATGATCATTTTTCACATGAACGTTTTATCTTGGTTGAAGTGATAAATATATATTCTAAAGATATTTTTGTATATTATAGGATGATTTAATTAACTTAAAGTGTTTCTCATTAACAAATTATAATTACACTTATGAGTATGAATATGATGATTTAGTTGTGCCACTTCTTCGTCGTATGACATATCTTGAAAAGTTAACTTTGTGTCTTCGTATTCAAAAGGTTGGCCGATTCGTCAGTGGTGCAAGTCTATCTATTGATGATGCACATCTTCATAATGAAATTCTTGTTCATATGCCTCAACTTCATACATTCAAATTTTATATTAGTACAGAAACTAACGCTATTTATTCAAATCTTCGTTTTTCCAATGATGATATTCAACAAACATTTATAAATATGAAATATGGACAAACAGCTTGTATCATGGATTATTATGGTGCGTGTGGAACTTTATGTCATGTTTATTCGCTTCCATTCACATTTACTCATTTGCACAAAATTACGACTCACTTTCCATTTATTGTATTTGATACTGTAACTAACTTATTTGTGTATGATATTTTTCCATTCGAACATGAATTCTTCATGCGAATTAATCAAACTTTTCCGTTACTCAAATGTTTCACTATAGAGAATGATCGGAGGGAGCATTGGAATTATGATGATAATCCATCATATTCAATTATTGAATCTACTCATCTAACATCCCTTGAAATCACACATGCGGGTCAATATTATGTTGAACAATTTTTGGTTAAAACGAATACACTTCTACCTCGTCTAACTCGCTTAAAAGTCGAATACAACGACTTGAAAACTATAGCAACCAATTTTACAAGAGAAGAAACGCGCCATAATTGTTCTAAGGTGAAGCAATTAATTGTCGAAGAGTTAATCGTTTTTTCAAAATATGTTTATCAATATTTTCCTTCATTGTAAATTAAATTCTATGTTAATAACTTCTATAAAAAAAAAAAGCTAAAGCTATAGTAGTAAAGCTACGCATAAACTATAAATATATAATTATATTTATTTTATCGTTTATATTTAAAATTGATTATGCTCGAATATCATCTGATGAAGAAAATTGTGATGAGCTGCAAGAGAATAATAAAATCGTTAGTCATCAAGATTTTGCAACTGTTCTCAATCGTAAATTAACGTTAAAACTGAAGAAATGTAAAGCACCAAAAGTATCTCGAGGCTACTCTGCGAAGCGACTTCGAACAGATGATATTTCACCACCACCAGCTAAGGATATGGGTGTGGGTTTCAGATTTCAATATTATGATATCATCAATATATTTCTCCGCTTTTGTGGAGCTTACATATATTTTCGAAGAGAATCAAGCGCAAGTTTTAGGTCGAGGTTGTCTGCTGGGGGGGGGGGGGGGGGGGGGGGGGGGGGGGGGGGGGGGGGGGGGGGGGGGGGGGGGGGGGGGGGGGGGGGGGGGGGGGGGGGGGGGGGGGNTTTTTGGTCGGGGGGGGTGCCGCCCCCCCCCCCCCCCCCCCCTGTTATTACAGAGACCAATCACTATCATGTTCTCAGTAGTGCAGATGTTGATTTTTGTCCGGATAAAAATTAATATCCAAAATGTCAACGATGATTGAAGAGTGATGTATCAGTTTTCAACAGTTGTTATATGAGCAATTTAAAAAATGTGATTTTATCAAGTTATAACTCTCAAAAATAAATAACATTGGTGTTTGAGAGCTGATCGAGATCTATAATAGTTTCTTGACACTTTCTGTAAATATAATGGATATTTTCAGCAGTCTTTTTAACCCATTAAATCATAGATTCAAAAAATAAAATACCAAAACGAGAGAGAAAAAATAATACGAAACAAAAACAGGGTGTCCATGAAAGGACAAAGCATTTTGTTCGGAATGCATGAGTAAACAAGAGAGATTCTTGCTTTGGTGATCGATTAGCTACGAGAGATTTTTCATTTTAAATATTTTATCGTAGTTTAATTAGACTAATGGATATGCATGAGTACCGTATTTCAGCCCCAAAGAGACTGAGTTAACAAGCGATTTTAATTATTTTCATGATCTTACTATTTAAGTTCAAGATGAAAAATAAGCTTTGCTTTACCAATACCAGACAGTTTCTGTCATAAACAAATAATGAAGCTGGTTTTTGCCGTGCGTTTCGACATATTTCCATTTTCTCAAGAAACCTAGAATGTGCAAAAGAGATTTTTCACCAAACTCTTCTTTGATGCTATTGAAAGTTGCTGCCTAAATTGAATTGAATTCCTATACTATACTGTTATTTAGATTATTATCTGATTGACTGCTTATAGAATATCTCTTGTAATATATCAAAACATTTTATTTTTATCGCAGTAAACCAGAATAACAGAACAACACCATATAGACATAGATTAGGAAAAACAAAATCAACACACAGTAACCATGCGTAAAATAAAAAAGTAAAACTACCAGAATTAGATGTCTGGTATGGAAGAACTTTGTTCATCATCATTATTATTCGATATCACTTCTCGATCTGCAATAGCATCAGCATCAGCAATAGCTTCATCAAGTGCAACTGTATCAATAAGTAATTGTTGTTCAATATTTTGTTCGTCATCATCAATATTGGGACTTTCATCTTCGTCATTTGAACTCTCACTATCTTCAGTCGAGAGAGTTGGTGATTCATTATCTTCTTTGATATTGTCTGTATTAATGTCGTTTCTTCTTTCAAAATGACATAATGATTCACCAAGTCTAATGAGATCACCAGGTTTAACATTAAATGCAAGATTATCAGGCGCTTCAAATACAAGTACAATAGTGGAACCTAGAGAAAAAAAATATTGCAAACGGCAGGTTTCTTTAATTTTACTAACCAAAATTAAATTCCCCAAAATTATCAGTGCGTTTGAGTATCATACCATTTGAATTACGAATTGTTTGAAATGTTTTTTCTAGTCTTGGTCGACGATAATTATTTGTTTTTAAATCCTAATAAAAAATAAGCAAATCTTATTTATTTATTTTTGGCAATGCTTACTTACGGGATCAAAATGAACATTAATATTGCCAACATTCGTTGCTCCAACAGCTGTCATCGAGAAAAATCCATACTTCCATGAACCATAATAAGCCGCTCGTTCATTTAAACAAAATAAACCTTGAAGCCAACCAGCAACTTTAGGATTTACAGAGAATAAATGGCCGATATAATGACGACGCCAACTTATTTGCCTATAAACAAAAATATAATAGATCAATGAAAATAGTCTTATTTCATACCATTCTGTTGGTGAATGAAATCGATGATAATCTCCAGGAGCAAGATAAATAACCTAAATAGAATATTTGTAATCAAATAAACATTCTGTCTTGTTTTTTTCTGATGCGAGATTGACATACGGGCAAAGGAAAGTTAGAGTGAGTTTCAATATAGGAATTCCTTAGGTTGCTACTCAGATTATATCATAAGACCTGTGAAAATAAATCTGTTGATTGCAACTGATCTGCGCGAGCAAATTTTCATGAGCTTTACATGCAGAATAGGTGAGGAATAATAGCAAAGGATTTCTTATACTCGACAATATCTAACTCAAAACTAGAGATCAAATTGATCGTTTCTGAAGTTTGAATAAGAAATGAATTTTTCTCCATAGAGAACATCATAGAATTTTCATCATACTCACTGAATAATAAAGTGCATGACCACGATATCTAAGTAAACTTTCGGCATAGGAATGTGCATCATCATGATCCATATTGGAATCAATGTGACTTTGATTTTGTTGTTGAAATTTCAGTATACTAGCAGTTAGTGGAACACCAAGAAACGACGATGCACTATATGTGATGCCTTTGACTTGTTCAATAAGACCACGAGATACTTTACCACAAGTTAAAATACGGCCATCACATGGTGATACTACTGGACATTGTTTATCTACAGGACGTAATTCCATTTTTATTTTACGACGAAAAAAATGTGATATTGTCGGATAAGATTTGAGATCTTCATTAAACATTTCATGAGCATGGCAGGAAAAAGCTTTTATATAAAAATTAAAGATTAGTGGGCGCAGCCATACAGGTATATATAGACGACTTATCCAACCCATGACACGAGAGATCAGTTTCAACGGTAACATTTTATAAATTGATATCTAGCATAGAAAAACAAAAATTCAAAATATAGTTTTCATCCTAGTATCGCTTACTTTCGATGGTGCTTTGGGTTTCTGCAATAGGGTTCTTGGTTCTTTAACGAAATTTTTCATTCTGGCTAATCGTTTTGCTGTTGATGAAAGGCCATTTATTGATTTTGACATCGTACGTTTAACACCACTACCTAATTTCTGTCGTACTATTGATACACTTCGTTTAACTCGTCGACTAACAACCAGAGGTGTGAGAATAAACATCATGATAAGATAGAATGGACTTGATGCATCACCTTCTTCAACGAATTCTTCGTCAGGAGAGAACATTTTATATTAATTAATAAAAATAAATAAATAAATAATGATAATATCTAAAAGATGTAAGAATGTTTTATTACTTTCATGACTCTATATGATGAGATATAAATAACTACAAAAATTTTCACTTCGGTTCAATCAAATAATTTCGCTATTCGGCTATTTTGATTTTCGTAATAAAAGCCTATTCCATGTATTATTTTTTTAAAAAAAGGGAAAACAAATAAATAATGCTGTTGGAAATACTTTAGCAAAATATCAGCAAAGAAATTACATATAATTTATTCATTCATATGAGATTATCGGAAGTCAAAAAGCGATTCGCTTCTATGTCAAAAAGATCGTTTGATTTAATTATCGACTTGATTTTTCTTTCTCGAGACATTTAAAGATCAAGAAACGACCATAAGCCGAACATACGTCTTAAGATCTGTGAAGAGCTGATTGGTGCGAAGCTTTTCAACTTCCGGTAATCTCACTTAGTTCTACTATATACGAACAAACTATAAACGTTTAATCAGCGTCCTACATTGAGAGACCGGAAATTGTTAACCATCTGTCATTTGATTTATCTTAGTTTGATTGGAAGTTCAATTTATTTCTCATATGTTGTTCGCAAAAACAAACGATATTTGAAATAGGCGTCTATTACTATGAATAGATGAAACTTGTTTGATTGAACTGAAGTGGAAATATTTTCGTTACTTATTTAATAGCTATTTATGGTTCAACTAAAGATCTACTAACAGTGTTAATAACAAAAAGAAAACAACAGAAAACAAAAAGCGACCGAAACCGAAAAGGTTATTCTTTGTTCTACAACGATTAAAAAATAACAGTCGACCAAAAATTATCTACAGATAGATGTGGAAAGAATTCTGTTAGCATAAACTGAAATGTTCTCAAAAATGAAAATAGATGTTTTTCATAATTATTTATTCTTCTTTATTTTTTCATCGCTTTTAATTACCGACATATTAATCATCAATTGTATGACTGCATAAATCACGAGAATCACCGATCCAACGATGATTTTAGCCAATAATGTACTGTGTATGATAAAGTTTATAAACCAAATCAAAGATGGAATACCAATTGTTAAAAGCCAAAAGAATTGAATCAATAGGTCAGAATAATTGCGAACAATAGGGAGTTCTGGTGCACCAAGACCATCAAAATCATCATGTTGAACAAAACTATCATAGATGCGATCCTGAATATGAAAAGTTTGAATATGTTTTGGATATTTTTCTTTTTAAATTACTTTTTCTTGAAAAAGTTTTTGAATCCATTCGCCACATTTCGCTTCATCCTCGTATGGAATTTGTGAAGTCGGATGACGTCTAAAATAAAAATCATGAAATAAACACTCTCAAATAATAAAATAACCCATAAGTTTTTGATATAGAAATTCCTTTTGGATGTTATTCAAGGTAGTTTATTTAATAAATAAAAGCCAGACTATCTTAAGTGTTCTTTTTGTGTACTCAAAAAGTGAGTACACTACTAAAATCGGTCAGCATGTCCGTCCGTCCGTCCGTTTATTCGATGACTCTTCACAATTACATTCGATTGAGCTGAAATTTTCTGCACAGAATTGTCTCATCAATATCTAGGTCGAGTTCGAAGATGAGAAGGATCCGTCAAGAGATGGCTGCGTTATCGAAAAATTGTCATTTTTGATCAGACCATCCCTGAGGGAGAGTACAGGGATTTTCCAAAAAAAAATTTTTTTTTCTCAGAATTATCCACAACATATATAAATCGACTCAGTTTTTAACGCTGATTCTGAATCTGATATTAGTTTTGAACTAAATCGTAGCTTTCTAACGAAACATCGCCTGAAAAACGTCTCAAATGCACAAAAAACTGCATCCAGAAATTAAATTGCCTAGTTTCTCATGATAATTTTGGTGTTCAGACATTCTAGAATGACTCATATGTCCCATGCACTTTTTACAGTACACATAACTCTCGGATGAAATCCGAAGTTTCCACATTTATTTTATAGTGAAAATTCTACTAAATTAAAATTCAGAATAGGATCACAAATAAACTAAGAAAAGAGTTCATATCTAGATGCTAGTTAATCAGGGAAAAAACAGTTCATCCAATTTTTAATAGAATATATTATCATATATGTCAAACTTGAAACTTGAATTCAATTAATAATTTCAATTTTCAATTTTCAATTTTCAACTTTCAAACCAATAACATTTTGAAGAATCGTGACTCACACATATACGGCTATCAGTCGAAAGTTGAAAATTGAAATTTTCAATTGAATTCAAGTTTCAACTTTGACACTACTGTATATTATAAGAGAATGATGATTTTAATTTACTTGATATAAAGTTGAGCTTTACAGGAATGTCCTTTGAGTAATGTACGAAAACTTGCTGGAGCACTATCCTTTGTAAAACCAAGCATAAAATTATACACAGCTGGTACTAGAAAAAAGACAAGAAATAATTAAACAGCAAAAAAAGAACAGAGAAAAATTTACTTTTTCCTTTGGCTCCTCGCATGATCATGGTGAAACCTCTTGTTCGTGGTAGTATATGATATTTTAATTCTGGCAAATTTTTTTCACGTGCAACTTTCATACTTTCAAGACGTTTTGCTTCTGTGAATCGAGTGCCTTCGCAAGCCATCAAAAACTAAAGAAAAATAAAAACATTATCCATTACCATCTTTTTCAAACGCGAACAAAACAATCAGCCTCCCAGGAAAACAGCTATCAAGCTAAAATACGAAACTTACTTGTGTTTTTGTATTTCATTATTATACTAATACAAAATAGATTAAATCAAAAAATATCTATTGTTCTTTTGCAAGTACAATCAATCATCAGCATAAAAATCTGTTTTTACCCTGTTAGTGTTTTTAATTCGTATCATTGATTGAATTATATACCCTCACGAGATCGTTCTGAGCTGGTATAAATCTCGATGCACTTCGGAACACCAACTCTCAATAATAGATCCGTCATCGATTGATTTCAGTCATTTAAAATACGCGAAAATTCTTCTCTTAATACCTAAGGAACTCTATAGAGGTAGAAGTTGCAAAACTTTCGCTGAAAATTAACATATTGTATTTTTTCGAGAGGAAAAAGAGTCACTTACATTAAAATAATAATTGTCTGGATAGCCATTAAGAAGTTGTTGAATATCATGTTCTAATACTCTTTTATCATTTTCCCAAATACGACGTAAAAAGATCGATTCGGAAAAGAGCCATGACCAACCAAGAACTGGTATTAAACTGAGAGAACGTTTTCCAACGATTTTTAAACCCTATTGAAATAGAAAACAAATTGTTAAATAAAGTTTTCGCCTCAATGAAAATTTTGCAACATACTCCAAGTAAACCTATTTCTTGAGCAGCCACTAAGCCGACAAGCCAATCGATTTCATATCGATGATTGACCAGTATAATTGCATATTCGCTTTGAAGATCTTTGACATCCTGTGGATTAGCATAGATTTTTATAGTGGAATCTGACCACCATGAATAGAGAAAAGTCAGTTCTTAAAATGAAGCAAAAAGCAAACGATTGAACTTAGAGAAAAATGAAAGAAAAATTTTTCAACACTTACGACTCCATAATAATGCTCCCAAATGGTAATTTATTCGGCGATACATTTTTCTACTAAACGGCCAAATAAATATCCATGAGAGAAATTGAGCAAAATTAACAATTAAACCGCTGACAACAAAACAATAGCAAATAAATATTTGAACCGGTAATAATGATTGAATAGCAGTGAGAAGTTTTCGATCGAACATCATTTGTTCAAGGCAAATATTCACACACACGAATAATAGAATAATCCAAAATATAAACAAAAAGAGAAAACAAATGAAATAATAATGCGCACCAAAGTAACTAATCACGCTCGAATTATTATTCTCTAGGTGTAAATAGAAAAAAAAAGAGACAAATCCAATACAAAACAAAAATCACTCGTCTGTAAAAAATGTTCTTTTTTTGAAATACAAAATTTAAATAGACCGATAAAAAAAAATCATTTCTATTATCGAAAAAACAAAATGCCCACTACACAAAAATGATAACGAGTCAAGCCATTCTTATTCATATCACAGTAGCCAATTATATTAACTATCACATAAAAATCATTGAAAATTAATTCTCCTTCTGTGTTTCACCATATTGTGAACCTCGTTCAGTCTCTGTCACAGCAATCATAGCTCGTACACCAATTGTTGCTTTTAAAATAATAATAAAAAATTAGAACTTTTTATTTATTCTATTTACCGAGAATAATTAAAATGAGAAAAATGAATTGAGCAATTAAAGAACTTGTCCAAAGAAATTTAATAAGATAAAATATTGATGGAATTCCGACGATTATCACCCAACCAAGTTGAATTAATAAATCATAATAATTACGTGGAATTGTAACACGGTCGATACCATTACCTTCAAATGTATCATGACGAACAAAGTAATCGTAAATTTTATCTTTCTCTCCATATAATTTATGAACCCAATCGCTGCATCCTTGAGTATCTTTCGGAATTTCAGATATTGGAATACGTCGAATAAACATTTCAGCTTGACAAGAACGACCTTTTAGTATGCTTAAAAATGTTGGTTCAGCTCCATTCTTTTTAAATCCAACAGTCAAGTCGTATATTCCTGTAACTAAACACAAAATTCCTGATGATTAATTGGGCACATCGATGGGTATATTAACTTCTCAGTATGTAGATAATCTATAGTTCTGTCGAGAAAATTGATTTTCGCTCTTAGAGACATGATATCAAAAGGATGACGTACTACTACTCATCTTTCATCGTCATGTCTTATCAGAAAATAGCATTTTATTATTCTACTAATTTTTACAGTTCCGACTATAATGCCGATGGATAAAATATGTATCGGAATTTTTCCTACAATACGAGATGTGCTATCGCCGTTACTTATATTCTCATTTTCTTCCTGCTGCGTTTTCTATGATCTGTCTTACGCGCTTCAATTGTTACTTATCGTTTTCTCATTAGTCACTTCTACTCTTGTCATCACTGTATAATCTGTAGGCCACCTGAGATTCATTCATGGTGAATTTTTTACTATTTAGGCTATGTAGCTGAAAATACACTCACTACTAAAATTCTACTGCTTTTTTTGATATTAAATAATAACAATATGTCTTACTTCGATCTTCTGCTCCTTGCAATAACAATGTAAACCCTTTTGTCCGTGGCAATATGTGATGTTTAAGTTCTGGTAAACCTTTTTCTCGTGCGGTTTTCATACTAGTTATTCGTTTGTTCTCAGTAAAACGTGTACCTTCACAAAAGAGTAAAAACTAAACAAAGCATTCAAAAAATCATGGATCGGAGAAAAAATCTTACATTAAAAAAATAATTTTCTGGATAATTAGCAAGTATTTTTCGTAAATCTTTCACAAGTGTTTCACGATCACTTTCCCAAATACGTCGTAGAAATATTGATTCAGTGAATATCCAGCACCAACCAACAATAGGCACAAGTTTAAGTGATTGTTTACCAACTATTTTTGATCCTTGCATTATACCAAGACGTTGACAAATCATCCAACCAGCTAACCAATCAATATCATACTTGTGATTCATTCTTAAAATATTTCAATAGATTTTATTTGTTTAGAAGAAAATAAGATTGTTTTGATTTACATAACAATGGCATGTTCTTTACGAACTTTTTCGAGATCATCAGGATTTATATAGAGTACACAATCACTTTGTGACCACCATTGTCCCAGGAATGTAAATTCTATTTAAAACAAAACAAAACAATAAACAAACACTTATGTTTGTAAGAATGATATCAATGTTTCGAAATTTATCCGAATGATTTTTGCTCGAGTAAGAGACGATGAAAAATGTCTTGATTTCAGCAGAAAACTTTTCTTTTTGTAACCTTTATTAAATGCCAAGAGAGAAAATATTCGTAGATAAAGTACAATAGAATCCATCTAGCAGATAATCGCATTCTAGCTCATAGATCAAAATCCATTACGTAGATAAAAATGTTACTAACTGATGGTAATGTTTTGAAAAATTAGAAACTTGCTTAGAGTATCAGTTGTTTTAGTTTATGAGTCCATAGCTGTAGTACTCGTGTACAGATACGTAGAATATGGAATCAGATCATTAGATGATATCATCGAGGGAAAAAATGATCACGCCATATACAAGATAAAATGTAACGCGGTTTAGAAAACAATGTGATAAGAGCTGCGGGTACAATGTTTCCTCCTAATACAGAATATAAAGGAAAACAAAAGGTGTCAAGATGTACACTTCTGAGGCTTTGCTAATGTTTTATTTTGAAAGAGAAACATCTGTTTTAGCTATTCTCATGGTTGAGAACTCGAGGATAAATTATGGAGAATAATAAAATGTTAAAACATTCGAATACTCACGACTCCAAATGCCTAATGCTAAATAGCAATTAATCTTTCGATATAATTCTTTATTGAATAGCCATATTATACAAGAACATAATTGTAAAAAATTAATAATTAAACCACTAACAAAGAAAATATAGCCAATACAAGCAATGCTAATAAATGATGATTTAAATTCATTATAAATATGCATGATCTGAAAACATAACAAAAGAATTTAATTCGATTTTTTTTTGTTTAACAAATTATCTTTCATATTATTTTCATCATTTATTCGTGATATGAATAAAACAGGGTATTCAATAAATGTTCTCTCATGAAATAGATCGATTATTGTGTTAAATGAACGTTTTTCATATTTTCCATATTGTTTTCTTTTTTGGCCAAAATTTTCAATATAAACGCAAGTTTCTTGTTCATTCGAATACTTTTTTAATTTTGAAAGACTTAACTCATTTATATTCAATGGTTCATTTAGAAAATTCTGAAATTTGATTAACAGATTCGATAATGTTGTTTCACTTGTTGGCAAACGTGTTATCGTCCATGTATAAAATGTATCGATAAAAAATCGACATTCAATATGCCAAAAGATGTCATGAGATTTTTTATCGAACCACATTTGATTTTGTTTATGCTTTGTTGAAAATCGAGGTAAATAGAGAACTTGTATAGATCCGTTTGTTCGTAATTTATTTTGTATTAATTTTTGAAAATGTTTTAATTCGTTAAAAGACTTCGTTTTATTTCCAAGTTCATTTCGTTTACTTGTTTCAACTTCACGATTGATTTCTTCGAGAAATCGATAATCTGATAATAGGTCAAGATCATTCATTTTAACCAATGGTTTAAATAATGTTTTATCGCGTTGTCCATTGCAATCTAATGTTTTCTTATGAGTTAGACAACAAGATAAAGAGCATGTGCGTATTGAACATCGTGGACATGTATATTTTATTGGATTTTTATAACACATAGAACATTTTTTTGGATCTAGTAAAATTTCCATCTAGAAATAAAATTTGGTTATTCAAATGCAAGTCAAATTTTTATAAAATTTCAAAATAGAAGCAGGCTAATATCTATATTATTGTGTGATGGACAAAGAAGTTATCAGTTGGTACCGTGCATAATTCTATAGAATTTTACTTACAGCTTTCGCGGATTGTCATAGATCTACTTAAAAAATGAGCTAAATTCAAGGGAGAAACAGTGAATTTGAAAACGTAAGTTCAATCGGTTCCACTTGACTAAGCTTGCTATAAATATGCTTAATCACTAAGATCTATAGTTGTATTGTAATGTGTTTATGGTAAAATCTTAGATGACTTTAACCATAGAAGTTTCGTTTATTCTATACGAGAACTTATATGGAAACCTTCATTTGATACTATTCATGCTGTAATCTCAGCTATTCTTCAGCTATGTTCTTTCTTTCCTGCATCATCATATTTAAAGAATGACGACACCACATAACATCTAAATGGCACTTATGATAAGGACTCGTCATATCAGGTTCGCCACTTACTTTTCTCAATCAAAGAACTATTCAAACAAAGCTAAAATATTTTCTTTTTCCATAAAATATAGTCGAAGATAAATTCACGATTGGCAAGTAAATATTAGTTTTTTTACTCAATGATGAATCAAGAGCATTCGTCAATAAAACTTTAACATAGCATACCCCAAAACAACACGCCAAACTGATAAGAACAATATGAAAAAAATTTACTCTCCTAAGAATAATGCTGATTTGCTAAGTCATTAATATTGAAAATGATCAACAAAGAAAACAAATTTCTACTGCGCAACGGCTGACAAATCTCGAGCATTAGTTAATGAAAAAAACAACAATCAACGTTTTGCATATTCATACATCTATTCAAAAGCTTTCTTTATACTGACAATTTGTATTTTGTGCAGACCCACACTCATCTGAACATAAATAATCGTTAGCATAAGAAAAAAAACTCACTATATGAATGCTGAATCTAAAATATAAATGTACAACAATTAGATAAACCAATGAACTCATTAATGAAAACAACAGATGCACTGTATTGAACTAGTTCAGCAAGGCATCGATTTTAGCAAATTATCGACAATAATCTAACTAAAATTGAATTTCTTACATTAACCTAAATCAAGGTAAAGAACAGCAAAGCCCAGGTTGAGGTTTACGGAGTCCATATACGGTCGTGTACGTTCTGTCTATCACCGTATACGATCGTATTTGGCCGTAATACATGGCACAGTATTACGATCGTATATCGCCGTGTCATATACGGAGCAAAATGGAGATCGTATACAGACTCCGTGTACAAGAATCATAAACGATCGTTTTTTTCCTCCGTATACGACACGAAGATATACGATCGTAATATTGAGCCATGTATTTCGTCGTATTTCTCCGTATGCGGTCGTAAACGGCCGTGTTTGTTCGACCTGGGAAGTTTACTCAGTTCAAATAGTTACTATGAAGTCTTATTGTTCTATAATCAATGGATTTTAAATGCGCAATCAACAAATTATATTTTATTCGAAAAGAAGAGAAAAAAATTCATTTAATACGATGTAAATAAAAAAAAAAGAATTATTTGCTACTTATTTTTGATTTAATTGAAATCAATAAAAGAAAGAGAAATTGAATATGTTTCTAAATATAAAATCTTGATTCGATACATATTTATGTCGAATCATTATCTGCATATATCGAACAATAGATGTCAGCAGTGCCGTTACACTATCAGCAGTGTTCAGACACTGAGAAAAGAGAATTTCTAAATTGAAGAGAAATTATCAGCAACATCATGACAATGTCTCAGGGAAACGAGAACTGACAAATGCAGTTCCTTCATCGTTCCACAATTCCTGAAAGTCAAAATAATGCTGTCTCTGAAATGCTTTCTGTACCACAGCATCCATGTACACAAATTTCCTGATGAAAATGAGTATAACAGCAAAAACTATCGTGAGCATTGTATTTTGTTATTATTTTAGTGTTCGGGAATCTACGGGGGAACAGAGGAGAAATTCCTATTCCACAGCCCTCGAACACCAATAAAATTTCTTGTCCATAAGTAACATCCGCTTCACAATGAAATATCACAGATATAAGTAAATGCAAATAAGAATGTTTCGCATATTTTTTAATACACACTTTATTTAGGATAAAACTTCTGGAAATGCAAACAAATCATGAAAGCAAGATAAGCCAATATCAATATGAATGTCAGTCTTTGAAAAATGCCAATCAAGCGTCAATTCATAGTTGAGTATTGTCGTTAGTGTGAAATGGTACTTAGGTAGTTTTTTCGACGTTTTCGGATATCAGTTCGGTATTCAATACGCTTGAGTCTATAATAAATCAAGAGAATATAAAAAAAAGCAAATATTATATTTCTATTGAACTTTATCAGAATTTCATAAATCTCATGCTTCCGTATATTAACTATTTGAAAGTTCTCCGCAATTTCAAGCGCCTATTGGTAAAATTTCAAAAGAGAAATTTCCTTTAGGGCAAATGAATTGTATAGAAGAGCTTATATAGAGATACCTTCTAGAATTAAACTAAACTAGTGCGTAACATGAGCTCTCGATCTTTGAATAAGATATTGTGAAATATTTGCTGAAAAAACAATTATCATTCAAAACGTTTCTAACGTTAGATAGAAAAGACGCTCTACTAATATCTAGGTTCTGTATTCATTGACATAAATCTTGGATTTCACTAGAATAGATATATAATGTAAATAGTTATATTTTGTATTCAAGAACTTTATGACATTATATTACATACAAATAAAGGATTTACTATACCCTGTGGTTCCGACGTACCTGTTGTAATGTTTTCAGATTGAAGAGTAGCATTATTTTCTGTTTCGGGCGGATCGGATTTTGTTTGTTGTTTATGTGGAGCCATTTTCCCGTGTGCATCTGATTGAGAATGTGTTGTCGATTTTCCATGCGCGTCTTTGTGTGAATGATGAACATCCGGCTTATGATGCGGATTATGCGAAGCATGTTTGTCATGCACAGTGACGTGAATTGCTGTTTCTGCTTTTTCGTGCGTATCAGAACTTTGATGGGTGTCCTTGTGTGAATCTCCAGTATGTAACTTATGACGTGGACTGTGTTGACCTCGTTTTTCATGTACATCCGCGTGACTGGCTGGTTCCAGTGTTTCGTGAGCTTCTTTGTGTGGATGATGAGTATCCGGCTTACGATGTGGACTATGTGAGGCTACCTTATGGTGTGCATCGCTATGTCCATGCGCTATAGTATCAGAATCATGGTGAGCTTCGATTTTGTTTTCGCTTGGTTGATCGTGCACTGGTTTATTTCCGGATACTAGTTATGAAAAAAAAAGACAAGGCTTTAGTTGTTACTGTGTGTGAGCATTAGTTTGAGATATAAATCTAAGAATTATTTTCATCCTCTCCTCTCTCCCGTCTCTTAATTTAACTGAACGAGATGAGAGAATGATAAAACTTTTGTTTGAATAATATAGGTATTAATGGAGAAAAATAATTCTTATTACGGTGAATGGAAACCATTTTTTTTCAACATCCAACTGAATGCGAAGTCCGTCGTCAAAGTAAAAACAGTGAATTCAATTTATAAAAATCACATTCTAATCGAGAATATGTACCTTGATGATGAGTAGCTTTCGCATGGTTAGCCGGATGAACATCCAGAGTGACATGTTTTTCAGCATCTGGATCGTGATGTGAAAGTGTATGTTGATGACCTTCTGTTTTCGCATTCTTTGTGTTTACGGCTGTAGTGTGCCCAGTTGTATGTTTGTTTTGGTCATGAGTTTTGTTCAAATGAGAGTTATCGGACACTTTGTTATGATCCGTGTTCGATGAGGACATTTTTTTTGTTTGCAACTTATTTCGCGGGTGAAAATAATTCAACTGACGATGTTTGCCTCATACAAAAACAGTCAGAAGCCCTCAATCTTCAGAAGCAGTATTAATTTAACTGCTGATTTGAGAAGAAATTCTTTTCTCATGATGCTGCTTTGTGTTGTAGCAACGTATTAAACAAAAGTTTTTCAAGGCCTGGAAGCAGATAAGAATAGAAAAAGAGAAAAAAAGGTCGATGAGTAAATATATTGAAAATAATTAAATTATACAAGATATAGTTTCTGTTGATTCAGATGAATGTATATAGAAATGCGGTTCCATAAAAACTAGTACTAAATTGGATACATGATTTTATAGTTTACTTGACTCTTCCAAAAACTACAGTCGTCCTGATAAAATTTGAATTGATTTTTCGGACATTGATCAAGGATTATATGCGCAGGAGCACATGTCTACACGATTATTGCCAGTACATCTTCTTGGTAACTATTTTAAATTATTTTAAGCGCTTGATATATTTGTTCTGAGTTAAAAATGATGAACGATCAAGCAGTTGCTTCTCGTGCACTAAATAAACCTAATCTTACATATATATCTGTTCGATTTCAAACAAAGTCAATCTATATTTGTCTATAATATTGTCATTTATGATCAAGTCTAGAGCACGTAGATCAGTATTTTTGTCTTCACTTAGATTTCAAAAGGGAATTTTAGAATCTTTTTTTTTTTAGAACTAACAGCTTTTATTGTTATCTTTTGCGTAAAAAAATGCAACCAATCACAGTTTACCAATTACAGGGACGGCGCGAAGCCACAAAAATATAGGGGGGTTACTTGAAAACGGGAGGTTTTCTTTCAAAAATCGGCGTAAACCAATAAAAATTTCTTCTATTTTCTTCAAATCGGAGTAAAATTGAAACAAACATTTCCAAAGTTGGGACCCCCCCCCCGTTCGTGCCGCCCCTGACCAATTGTTAAATGTTTTAAACAAAACACATGTAGTATTGATATAAAATATTCATCAATTGTTAATAAAATATTATCGAAATCGTGAAAAATAATTTCGACATTCCACGGTGACTATTATGTATTCTGTTCGAATGAGTTGTAACAATCTCAAGTTATAATATTGCGGAGTCTACGAAAATTGGTCGAAAATTTTGTAATAGAAGAACAAAAGCTTTTTTTAAAGCAGCCGAAACTTTGTAGTGTAAAACTGGAACTAGCACTAATTGCATTATCTTGTTAATATTAGACGAAAATAGTGATTCGGACAAATAAATTAGGCATGCATAACAAACGAAAAGTAGTTTAGAACTTACGAAGAACACTTTCTAATTGTTTTAGTAACGTTGCTTGCTTTGAGAACACGGTGGCTATCTCAATCACACAACCACCCACTACCACATCCTCACCTTCACCCTCACTCTCAAGATACACTTCGAACTTCGAGTTTCCATTTAAGAAAAAGCTTTTGTTCTTCTATTACAAAATTCTCGATTAATTTTCGCTCTCCCGATATTGCGGAAGGATACTCAAATTGACTATTATTTGTCATAAATAGGCACAATGAAAAGAGCCTATACTGAGAATGATGAATAGTAAACGATATACAGAAAGGACATCCATGCAAGAAAATACCAGTAATAAATTATGATACTGTCTGGAATTTTTCTATCTTGTTGGGAACATTACTCGAATAAATTGTATGCAGGAACTTATATGATTGATGCATCTTTCTTTATTATATCACGAGGTCAGAAAGGGCGACAAATGTACGCTCTTTATATTCTACATAGAAACGAACACGTTATTTTCTTTCTCATTGTGTACCCGCACCGATAAAAAGCAAAAATGGCAATTATTTCGATATTCAAGGCTATCGAAAGCTTACTCCTTTTTGTTCTGTCACTCGCAGAGAAACAACATATTTAGTTACCATTGCATATGCGCACACACAAGCAATCATCTTGTTGTTTGTTTTTCTTACATTCATGGTGAAGCAATGGGTTAGATAGTTATTCACGTGATATACTTCTGTCTTATCAAGTAGTCTACCTGAGATTCTAGTTAAGACCGAAAAATCCATTTTCAAGGACAAATATACTTTTCGAAATTCTGATAAGATGATGAAAAGAAAAAGATATCCAGGCTTTTCAAAATGCAAGTGATTTTACTAAGGAGTTCAGTGCACTCCATTCGTGGTAGTCGCTACTGAAGGTATCGCTATTTGATACTCTACCAATATATGAATAAAAGAATTTTGCTTATCAGATGACCAGCTTTCTATTATGCGTTTCTTTCATTCTCATGTGATACACGTTAGTATGATGTAAGTTGGACGCCTTATTGATCACTTCCTTCTGTTCCCAGTTGACCGATCAATACACTAGATCATCTCACAAGAGAAAATTTTCACTTGACTAATAATTTTCAAGCTCTGATGACGTAAATTTGGAAGCCTCGAATGCAGCATTTAAAACAAGAAAAAGAAACCATGTTCTTAAAGTCCATATCGAAAATTATTGCAATTTCACTAAAGTTTTAGCTGTTAGTTATCAGTTTCCGAAATATTTGCATGAGACTATTGAGATTTGGAGTTTTTTTTTACTAACATTAGATTTCCCTAATCAATACGATCATACCAATGAGGACATCTACGTTATGTTGTAATGGGTAGGTTTCAGTTCGTTACGCTTTCCCCTTATTCTAACTTATTCAGCTTAGATTTTATCTTAGTATAATGAAAAGAAACGTGATTGAAACCTATCTTTTTCATTATGATCTTCCAACTTTGATACTGCATAACAGAAGATAAGAAAAGTCGACAACGCTTTGAGTGATATAAACATGTCACAAGTAACTTTTTTCTCGTGACATATTCTACCTGAGATTCGTTTGAGTAAACACACTGATAATTTATATAATATCTTGACTGTTTTTGCTTCTATAAGTTTGAGATATCGAGAGAATATATAACGAAGAGCATCGTGTCAGAAAGCCAACGACAGAATTAAGAATATCTGGAAAAAATGCAAAATCTATAAGTACTATATAAAGTTAAAAGTGAGAAAATATAAGATTTTTTTCATGGATGTGTTTCTCTTTTTATTTCGTTGGTTAGTGTATCTTTCTCTTAAGATTTTTATGTAAGTATAAAACAGAAACGATAAGATCGAAGAAAATAATAATTCGCATTCTAGAGGTACTTAAGTAAAGTGCGACCAAAAATGTGACTTTTGAACTATTTTATCAACAGAATAGGTACGACTGCCTGTGTTCAACTGTCCGATTTACCGTAATATAGTATAGCCCATTCCTTTATATTGACATTTTTTTGTTGAAAATCAAAACTAAATTACAGTAACAGCTTTTACATATGCACTTCTTTATTTTTTCTCTTCGACAAAAGTCTTATTATATTTGATTGTACAGGAAACAAGTGAAGAATCATCAACATTATTTTCAATACAATAACTGAGATCATGTCGTCCCAAATTTTTCAGTCGGCCAGTGAAATTTCCACATATTTTCGATGTGATAATTGTTGTATGATCTTGAATAAAGTTAGTTGGAAGCAATGCAGAGTATGTCACGGGTTTGACTTATGTGAAAAATGTGCAAATATTGGCTATGATAAATTAACACGTGAAGCTTTTAATCAGCACCAAAGACTCCACCCGGATCTTCCCAGTGATGCATCAATTGTCAATGATTTGATGCAATTGGTGTTGATCGAAGAAGCTGTAAAAAATGATGTTGAAGCTCGTCGAAAAAGAGGAGAACAGATTTTGACGAGAGTTTTAAAGGACGAAGAAATTCAAGATGATTATGATATGGCTGCTTTAATGGAACATTTAAAAAAACAGGACGAGTTATCTCTGTTCTCTAAAGATGATAAAGTATCTCAATTGAATTCGATCATCTTAAAATACAACTTAAAAGCAAGTCAACGACGTATCCGTGTACTCAGCTTAGATGGAGGAGGTTAAATTTTAAAAACTGTTGAATTTCATCCTATTTTCTATTCAATTGTCTTCTTTTTTGTTAGGTGTACGTGGTTACATGCCTATTAAAATTATTGGTGAACTTATTCAACAAAAATATAACACGATTCCAAAACCATTTGATGCTAACAACTCAAATCACAAGCAATTATTTCATGAAGCACAATTGGAGTTCACTAAAAATTTTGACTATTTTGTTGGTACCAGCACAGGCGGTCTCGTTGCGTTTTGTTTGGCTATCAATTACAATATATTGGATATGCAAGAAATCTACTCAAACGCTAGTCATTATTTCAAGAAGAATTTTTTTGGGCCGGTTATAACCTCCAAATATGATCCTATTCGTATCCATACTAAAATCGAAGAGATTATTGATTCAATTCACTTTCCTGTTGAGAAAAAGTTAACACATGAAAATGCTACTTTACTCGATATACGTAATTTATTGAATCCTGATAATATCATTGATGATGCATGTATTGAAGCAGCACGTATGAAGTATGGGGATTTACTAGAATTTACTGATATAATCAACAGTAAAAACGAAGGTGCCCATACTACTCAAGGGGGCATCTTTCAACAAGCAAAATGTGAAAAAGTGCTACTTATAACATCCTACAACACAACACAAAACACCGTTACTATGTTTAATACAAGTTATGCTCAACATTGGGGATATCGTATCGCGGATGTTTTAAAATCCACAATGGCTGCTCCGACTTACTTTCCGCCACATCCAATATATACAACAATCAATGGTAAAGAGGAATCTTCGCCACAAAGCACACCTGAATTATTTATTGATGGTGGTGTATTTGCCAATGATCCCGAATTAGCAGCACTATGGGCTGTACGAATTCAATGGAAAAAACCAATCAACTATCATTTACTTTCGATAGGAACAGGTTGTTATACCTCGACATTATCCTCATCGACTTGGGGAGGATATATTGGATGGGTACTCAACGGAGGAATTCTAGTTAACACACTCATGGACGCTACCCGTAGTTTCACGGAAAGAATCGGAAGTAACTTAGCCAATCTTAGCAATTTAAGACGAATGAAATTAAATTATAAAATAACACAGCCTATGGCATTAGATGATACAAAATTTGCGGAAAAGTTTGATAAAGAATGGGAATATTTGAAAAATGAACAAGACTTTAAAGCTCTTATTTACTTCTATGATAACTACATTAAAAAAGATCATGCCGACGATAAGAACGATAAAAAGAACAATTGATTACTAATATATGAACATGTTTTTCAACGTATTTTTGATTTTTGGTCGTCAGTTTTTGTATATGTATGCCAAATAATAATTATATTTTGAGTTTTGGAAAGTTATTTTCTACTCTTAATCGATAGTCGTCGATTATATCTATGAACAGATGTTTAAAAAGCATGGAGATGTAAAACACAAGTATTCTCATCAATATATTTGTCACAGTTGACATGAGAATTTCAGTTGAGATTGGAATGCGCGAAATAAAATTATTTGAATTTCTTTTTTTTCCCTGCTCGTGTTTCATAAAATAAAATATATTTAAAAGGAAAAAAGAT